CTGATTACAAACTGATGAATATCTCAAATGGTAGAGCATCCCAGGTGAATGCTGAAGACTAGTGTTAGAGCCTGTGCTTTTTGCTATTGCATATTACTTGTGAAGTAGCCATGGCAAGCCTGGCTCTATTGCTAGACCAGAAACAGTAGAGAAATTCAAGCATTACCTGGCAAGAAATGATCACATTTAGATGCACTGTGCACTATCTGATACTGGGGACACAGAGGGTGAGGAGATATGCTTGTTTACATACACTATAAGGAAATACACAGCAGTTATAGGAACCATGTTTGTAGGATGGAGCTGATTTACAGTCGGACTGCAAAGCTCTAACATTATCTCCATGATGCCTGGATGTCTGGCTCTGACTCTTGGTTGGGATAATATGATTGAGCTATATGAGGTATTGGTTAAAGTCTGATACTCCCGGGGAGACTCCCAGAGCCAATTTGTTTATGATGGCTTTTTAACTTTTTTAAACTCACATAACCAGTTAGATAGCCGGGCTTGACTATGTAGCAAGTGAACAGAGGGGCATAAAAACTCGTACAGTGGCTGGGCGCAGTGGCTCATGCCTGTAATCCCAGGACTTTGGGAGGCCAAAGTGGATGGATTACCTGAGGTCAGGAGCCTGGCCAACATGGCAAAACCCCATTGTACAAAAAACACAAAAATTAGCTGGTCATGGTGGCACATGCCTGTAATCCCAGCTATTTGAGAGGCTGAGACAGGAAAATCGTTTGAACCTGGGAAGCGGAGGTTGTAGTGGGCCGAAATTGCGCCACTGCACTTCAGCCTGGGCAACAGAGTGAGACTCCATCTCAAAAACAAACAAACAAACAAACAAACAAAACCCCTGCCAAGAAGTCCTGCCATCAGCTGTCCCCAAACCAAGCTTCATACAGCTCTTAGTGGTTCAGTTCAGAGACAGTGTGCAGTCTGTGTATGAATGAAACTACTGAAGAGCATGCCCCTCGATGATTCTAAGCCCCAATGCTTACCTTCCCTTTCTTTTGCTGAGCCACATCCTTTACTTCTAAGTAAAAGCATTTCTTGGGTATGCTCTGTGAAGTCATTAGTCCTTTGAACTGATGAATGCATATGTCTTATGACCTTGCAGTCAGGTCTACAAAATATGAATTTGCAAAATCACATCTATTTTGTCTTATCTATTTAGGCCAAGTTGACTTAGAGTCCATAACCATGTTTGCTCCTTAGAGCTGCCCAAACTTCACTGAGCAATAGAGAAGTTGGATGAAAAATACTCACGCACCATATGACATTTTGTTCCATGATGCATATACAGTGATGGTCTCATAAGATTATAGTACCATATGTTTACTGTACCTTTTCTATATTTAGGTTATATATAGGTTTACATATACAAATAGTTACCATTGTGTTACAACTGGTTATAGTATTCAGCACAGTAACATGCAGTACAGATTTGTAGCCTAGGAGCGACAGGCTAGCTATACCATATAGCTTAGGTGTGTAGTAGGCTGTACCATCTAGGTTTGTATCTGTATTCTGTGATGCTTACACATTCGTGACACTGCCTAATGATGCATCACCCATTAAGTGATGCAATGCTGTATTTATCAATTCATAACATGAAAAATCTCTCAAGTGAGTGAAATCGCTCACACCTGTAATCCCACCACTTTAGGAGGCCAAACTGGGAGGACTGCTTGAGGCCAGGAGTTTGATACCAGCCTGGGCAACACAGCAAGACCCCATATGTATAATATGTATTAAAAAAAAAAACATTAACTAAGTGGGATGGCACACGCCTGTAGTCCTGGCTACTTGGAAGGCTGAGGCAGGAGAATCATTTGAGTCTAGGAATTCAAGTCTGCAGTGAGCTAAGACACCATCGTACTCCAGCGTAGGTGACAAAATGAGAACCTGTCTCAAAAAAAAAAATGCAAAGAAAATTTCTGACTTCTTCAAAAGAAATTTTTAAGCAGGATTCTGGAATATAGCCCAATGTTGTTTCATGCCAAAATATAAACCATAGGGCCAAATTTTCCTAAGGAGAAGCAGGTTATAAGTAAATACCTTTAGAATAGCTTTACAACTTTGGCCGGGCATAGTGGCTCATCTGAGGTCAGGAGTTTGAAACCAGCCTGGCCAACATGATGAAACCCCATCTCTACTAAATATACAAAAAATTAGCCAGGTGTGATGGTGGGCACCTATAATCTCAACTACTTGGAAGGCTGAGGCAGGAGAATCGCTTGAACCCGGGAGGTGGAGGCTGCAGTGAGCTGAAATCACGCCATTACACTCCAGCCTGGGCAACAAAAGCAAAACTCCATCTCAAAAAGAAAGAAAAGAAAAAAGAGGCCAGGTGTGGTGGCTCATGCCTGTAATCCCAAGACTTTGGGAGGCCAAGGCAGGTGGATCTTGAGGTCAGGAGTTTGAGACCAGCCTGGTCAACATGGTGAAACCCCATCTCTACTAAAAATTTAAAAATTATCCAGGTGTGGTGGCATGTGCCTATAGTCCCAGCTACTCGGGAGGCTGAAGCAGAATTGCTTGAACCTGGGAGGTGGAGGTTGCAGTGAGCTAAGATCGCGCCACTGCACTCCAACCTGGGCGACAGAGCAAGACTCTGTCTGAAAACAAAACAAAACAGAATTCCACATAAAACTGAAGTAAACAAAAGAATAAAAAGAAAAGAAAAGAAAAGAAAAGAAAAGAAAAGAAAAAGGCCAGGCATGGTGGCTCACACCTGTAATCCCAGCACTTTGGGAGGCTGAGGCAGGCGGATCACGAGGTCAGGAGTTCGAGACCAGCCTGGCCAACACAGTGAAACCCTGCTAAAAATACAAAAAATTGGCTGGGCATGGTGGCAGGTGCCTATAATCCCAGCTACTTGGGAGGCTGAGGCAGGAGAATCACTTGAATCCAGGAGGCGGAGGTTGCAGTGAGCCGAGATTGCGTCATAGCACTCCAGCCCAGCTGACAGTACAAGACTCTGTCTCAAAACAGACAAACAAGCAAACAAACAAAAAACAAAACAAAACAAAAGAATAAAACCACAACTTCATTTAGACTTTCTTTAAAGCTTCAAAAGTACCTCTTTCATGGACATTCATTAGATTTCATACCTTGATTTCTCTCTGCACTTTTGTTAACTGAACTTCATGAGAAATGATAGCACAGGGTCTTTTGAGGATGGATTGCATTATCTGCAGCTGGTCTTTTGGGGGCTATATTCATTTTCTTGTGTGTGCAAAATTGGGATGTATGTGAATATAATTTAGTGCCAGAAAATGCGAGAGAACACATATGAACCCCTCAACTGAGTTCTTATTAAAGTATGTAATCGTAAGCCAAAAATACAGCCAAATCTTCAACTGTATCTTATGGCCAGTTTTTGTTCATGCCAAAATCACCTAGTAGTAATCACTGTATCTTTGTTTACTGACTCTAGAATCCAAATATTTATACCTTTATTTATTTATTTTTGAGACAGGGTCTCACTCTGTCACCCAGGCTGAAGTGCACTGGCGCTATCCTGGCTCACTGCAACCTCTGCCTCTGAGGCTCAAGTGATCCTCCCACTCAGCCTCCCGAGTAGCTGGGACTACAGGAACGTGCCACCATGCCTGGCTAATTTTTTGTAGAGATGGGGCTTTGCCATATTTCCCATGCTGGTCTCGAACTCCTGGGCCCAAGTGATCCTCCAACACCTCCCAAAGTGCTGGGATTTCAGGCATGAGCCACCTAGCATAAATAATAAAAAATATATTATTTTTATTATATGTTAATAGATACTAAAAAATTACATTCTCTTTTAATAAAACAATTAAGTTAAATAAAAACTTTTTTAATAAGTAAAAAATAAAACTGTTTTTAGTTGGCTGGGCATGCTGGCTTATGCCTGTAATCCCAGCACTTTGGGAGGCCGAGGTGGGCAGATTATCTGAGGTTGGGAGTTTGAGACCAGCCTGACCAACATAGAGAAATCATGTCACTACTAAAAATAAAGCAATTACCTGGGAGTGGTGGCGCATGCCTCTAATCTCAACTACTTGGGAGGCTGATGCAGGAGAATTGCCTGAACCTGGGAGGCACAGGTTGCAGTGAACAGAGATCAAGCCATTGCACTCCACCCTGCACAACAAGAGTGAAACTCCATCTCAAAAAAAAAAAATTAGCTAGACATGGTGGCGGGCCCATGAAATTCCAGCTACTGAGGCAGAATTGCTTGAACCAGGGAGGCAGAGGTTGCAGTGAGCCAAGACCATGCCATTGCACTCCAGCCTGGGTGACAGAGAAAAACTTTGTCTCAAAAAAAAAAAAAAAATTGTTTTTAGTTAAAAAGCCTGACCATTTTGTTGGTTGCTGGCCAGGAATTTGGGAAGACCTCAGCCGGGCAGTTCTTGTTTGAAGTCTCTTTTGTGGTTCCAGTTTGATGTTAGCAGGGTCCACAGTCATCTGAAGTCTTGACTGGATGTCCAAGAGGCCTCACTTACTTAATGGTTGGCAGCTCATGCTAGCTGATGGCTGGGAGCTCAGCTTCAGCTGTTGACCAGGGTGCCTTACACATAGACTTGTTAGCACTATAGTCTTGGTATGGCTAGACTTCTTTCATGGGAGAGAGCTTTCCTCAGAGTTAAAAATCCCAAGTCCCGTTTGTTTCCTTTTATTTTCCTTTCTTTAGTATTAATTCTTCAATGTTGTGTAAGAAATGAGCAACAGTTAAAGTCATTCTTACAATCATTTCATGCAAAGAGTTCTCATCCTATGTGAATTCCCTGATATAGTGTAATAGTTGAACGATGGCTGTAAGCTTTTCCATATTCATTATTTGTACTTGACCAGTAAGATGCAGGCCATGGGTAAACACTATATTCCTCCCCATGCTCCAATTTCAACACACTCACAGGACTTTTTTCTAGTTGGAATTCTCTGATGTTGAATAAGGAAAATGTTGGATGGTTTTCCTTCTTTGGTAGACTTTTTGCTTTCAAATAAGGCATTAGCTGTGGCTAACAGCAATCTCACATTTATTACATTTGTCTGGAAGATTTGGGCTCTGGCTGAAAGCCTTTCTACATATATTATATTCACATTCCCAGTTTTCACAATAACATTGATAGATTTTTTTCCTCTAGCATGAATTCTCTGGTTTGAACCAGCACATGTTGATAAAACATGCTGCTTCCCTTCAGTGTGATCTCATGTGGTGAAAGTTCTGAATTGTCTGGCAGTATCTGACTGAATACATATGTTCTAAGACCCAGCGATTCCATTCCTAAGTATATATACAAGAGAAATGCATGTATGTACACCAAGACAAATATGTTCTCAGAAGCATTATTTATTATGACCCTAAGCTGTAAACAATGTAGAAGTCCATCAACAGTAGAATGGATAAATTGTGATATAATCATATAATAGAACTCTATACTCAATAAACTTCTGTTACATGCACTAATGATCAGACTCAGGGACATGATGAATGTAATAAGCTGTATATGAAAGAATACATGATACATAATGATTTATAATGTGTAAAATCTAATTTATAATGTTAGAAGTCAGAATCATGGTCAACTGTGAGGCGGTAACAACTAATTTTTATTTTGTATTTGCAATGAGAAATACAGCTCATGCCTTCTTCTTTTAAAGAATGTCTACTCACTGTATAGTCCATGGACCACAGTCAGTTGGCCAACTATTTATTACTGCTTAACAGAAAGATATGTATTGAAATGGAAAATGTGATTTTAAATGTTTATAACACCTTGACAGAGGAAGTTTTTGTCTGCTGAAGCTAGTAATAAAAAATTTGGACTTTTAAATGAATTCTGTCATGTAATTTGTCTAATAATATGTGTGTGTTTTATAGGCTGGCAAACAGTAGGATACCATGTGGTATCCTAGTACCTTAAACGGTTGGATATTATTACAATTGCAAGCAACATCATGTACAGGGTTTACTATGACTTAAAATTTTTTTTATAAAAAAAGTCACATTACTTACTGAATTCCCATGGTTTCTACCTTGTGAGTTTTCTGATGGACAATTAAGTTTGACTTACAACTGAAGAACTTCCCACACTGTTTACATTCATATGGTTTCTCTCCTGTGTGAGTTTTCTGATGGCGAATGAGGTTTGACTTCCTACTAAAGGCTTTCCCACACTGAGGACAGCCATTGGATTTCTCTCCTGTATGTATTCTGTGATGAACAGTGAGGATTGCCTTCTGGCGGAAAGACTTCCCACATTCATTACAAATATATGGTTTCTCCCCTGTGTGAATTCTCTGGTGGAGAGTGAGGGTTGTCTTTTGGCAGAAGGACTTCCCACATTCATTGCAAATATAGGGTTTCTCTCCGGTGTGAGTTCTCTGATGCACAGTGAGGGTTGTTTTCTGGATAAATGCCTTCCCACACTCATTACACTGATACGGTTTCTCTCCTGTGTGAGTTCTCTGGTGATCAATGAGGTATGACTTCTTCCTAAAGGCACTTCCACACTGAGGACATTCATAGGCTTTCTCTCCCGTATGTGTTTTGTGATGTCTAGTGAGGGTGGCCTTTTGGCGGAAGGACTTCCCACAATCAATACAAATAAAGGGTTTCCCCTCTATGTGTGTTTTCTCATGAAGGGTGAGGGCTGTCTTCTGACGGAAGGCCTTTCCACACTGATTGCAAACATAAGGTTTTTCACCTGTGTGAATTCGCTGATGTTCAATGAGGTATGACTTCCTTCTAAAGCTATTCCCACAGTAAGGACATTGAAAGGGTTTCTCTTCTGTTTGAGGTCTCTGAGGCATAATAAAAACAGACTTTCTGCAGAGGAATTTCCCATATTTGTTGCAGACAGAGGGCTTCTTTTCCATAAGATTACTTGGATGGACACTGAGACTTGACTTTTCTATGAAGGCAATTCCATCTTTGTTGTATTCAAAGGTTCTTTCTCCTATGCGAGCTCTAGTATGTGTAAACAGCATTCCCTTCATCAGGAAGGATTTTTCACATTCATTATGGTCAAATGGTTGCTCTGGAGTTTGAACCTTCTGATGCTGAATAAGCTCCTGTTTACCACTGAGAACTCTTTCTGTTTGTTTACAGAGATTCACTGCAGGATGAATTTTCTCATGCTTAGTATTGTGAAGTGATTTCTCCCATCCAATACTGTCACCAAACTTCTCTTTTATGGGGCTTATATTTCTAATGACTAGTTCTGAAATATTTTTCAAAACTTTTCCGTCAGGTTTATATTCACATAGTGTTGTTTTTGAAATATGGTTCTTGCCTAGAGTAAGTGTTTTACCATAAATATTACTTCTCTCCTTAATTAGTTTTTTGTGGTTAATAAGTATGAGGGATCTAGAATGCCTGTCTTGGTATTCTTTGAACTTCACTAAGACATCTTCAGTTTTCCCATCTTCTTCTAGAAAAGAATACAATTAACACTGTAAGTCTGCACATAAATGCTATGGATTGGGTGTACACACAGACAAACTATGGTGGGACTAGCTCACTACTGTGATCTACAAAAAGGCCAGAATAAATTCCTTCTTGGTAGGGAAAATGTATAAACATAAATACACTTCTTGCTACACTGTAAAAATGAAGAAAAACTGGCAGAAGCAAAAAACACTCGTATCTTTGGCATGTTATAAATATAAGCTGCACTGAGAAGGTGTAAGAAACAAGGATGAGTGAGCAGAAGAGAAAGAATGATAAAAGAGGGATTGTCCTTGGCATGGAGGATTCAGAGCTGCTGAAGTAAGCCTACCAAGGGTACTGAACAGTAGGCAAGATGACAAAAAAATTATTTATGAAGAGATGAAAAGCTACACATTTATCCCCTCACACCTAAATAAGTGCTATGAGTGCTTCCAATTCTTTCTTCTTCACTTCCATTTTGCCTATGCATGGTAAATGAACTTTTCCAGCTCCTTTCCTAGTGTTTACAGAAACATTAGTCTATAGTCTAGGCCCTAACTGTCCATATAACCGTAATTTATTTTCGCTTGAAAGCAGAGAATCTAGAAAACATATTCCCATGAGGAATTATAAAATACACTAAAAGACAAAATATATTTCCAACATGAATATAATCACTGGTATGTGTGTGTGTGTGTGTTTGTGTGTGTGCGTGTATTTGAATTTTTTTTTTTTTTTTTTTTTTTTTTGAGACAGGGTCTTGCTCTGTCCTCCAGGCTGGAATACCGTGATGTGATCCCGGCTCACTGTAGCCTTGACCTCCTGGGCTCAAGCAATCCTCCCACCTCAGCCTCCCAAGTATCTGGGGCTACAGGTGTGTGCCACCACGCCCAGCTAATTTTTATATTTTTTTGTAGAGTTGAGGTTTTCCTATGTGGCCCAGGCTGATCTCAAACTCCCAGCCTCAAGTGATCTTCCAAAAATTCTGGGATTATACGTGTGAGCCACAGTGCCCGGGCACTGTAGTATTCTGATTGCTGTTACCATCAATCTATTCTGCCAGAGACGGTCAATAATGAAATTCTCCTCACCATCAATTCTAACTTCGTCCTTTCAATTTGCCGAATTACTTTTTTCAGCTTTAGGGAAGAATAGGCTTGAGTTTTCCTCCCAATACAGTCACATACCTTAATTCTGCTTCCCTATGGAGCTGTAAAGGACTGGATTATTCAATGTATGTGCAGAGCATTAATCTTTACTATTTAAAAAAATAAATTCTTGTATATCTTACTATTGTTGCCTTACTACGACGCGTACTTGGGAGGGCAATTTAAAGATGGATTCAACTCATCTATGATTTACATTTTTATTTATAATAGTCCCATACTGGGAACAGCCCAAATATCCATGAAAAGATTAACAGGTAAAACTGTGTCATGTATTATACAATAGAATACTATCTCACAATAAGAAGAAACAATGCTGATACACAATGACAACAGGAACGAATCTCAAATATTTTGCAGACTATAAGCTTTATGAAACAGAGTACACATACACTTCCACTTATGTGCAGTTCTAGGCCATGTAAAACTAATCGGTACTGCTAACTGAAGTTACATTGTCTCCCTAAGAACTTCAAACACCTCCAAGTATATGCTGCATCCAATGTTTCTTAAAGCTTTCACATATTCTTTCTTTTTCATTTATTTCTCTTATTTTTTCTTTCTTCCTTTTCTTTGTTTCTTATATGCTGCTATCCAATTTCTCTTAACGCTTCCATACTTCTCTCTCTCTTTCTTGTATGCTACTATCCATTTTTTCTTAAAGCTTTCAGTCTTTTTTTTTTTTTCTTTCTTATATGCTACCAGTCAATTTTTCTTAAAGCTTTCAAATAGTTCTTTCTCTCTCTCTTTCTCTCCTTCCTTTCTTCTTCCTTCCAATCCTGGCTCACTGCAACCTCCATCTCCAAGGTTCAAGTGATTCTCATGTCTCAGTCTCCTGAGTAGCTGGGACTAAAGGTGCGTGCCACCACATCTGGCTATTTTTTTTTTTTTTTACATTGTTTTTAGTAGAGATGGGGTTTCACTGTGTCGGCCTGGCTGGTTTTGAACTCCTGACCTCAGGTGATCCACACACTGTTGGCTTCCCAAAATGCTGAGATTACAGAAGTGAGCTTCTGCTCCCAGCTAAGGTTTCACACAGTTTTTCTGCCTCTCAGTATCCCATCTGTTTGAAATTGTAATATAATTATGGTCTGGAACATTCACTTCAAAATATTTTCCAACAGCCTGGAATTTTAACATGGTCATTCTATGTCAAGTCCACAATTTGATAATATAATATTGCTTTCTTAACTAAAACTCATGTTTTTATAGGTCAATATATTATTGACAATATTCTCTAAACTATTCTGAGTATACATTTACACACCATTATCTGAGGTTAGGGGATACAATATTGGCAGGTACACCTAAAAAGAACTTAGTAGTAAATGATTTCTAAATGGATGAGAAAGATATTTTCCCTGCATGATATGACAATCAAAAAGATAACTGCTGAATACCTGGCCTCCATTACAAGCTGCAGTAAGGAAAGACAAAAGAGAGGATCTTATTTTGAGGAAACAATTAACCAAATGGAGAAAGAAATGTCAGATAAAACAATGTTGAATTAGGTATCAAATTACTAGATCATATCAGAGGACGTGTTTGCTCACATGTTATAGACGTTAAGTAGAATGGGAATGCATAAAAAAGAAATAGACATACTCTATAAAGTAATCAAGGTATTTCATGGAGGAAATGAAACACAATCTTTTAGCTAAATGACATATAATATTGTGTGGTAAAGAATTTAACCTTGCCAAACACAATGTCTAAACTTTAACTTCAGTTTCAGTGTGGTAATCTTTAAGCTCTTTGAATGTCATCATGGCTAACAGGAGTTTATTTGTTTGCCAGGGAGTCTTTGGCTGGCCAAACAGTAACAATGTGATTTAGGGTAGGAACTTTGAGTCATGCAGCAAGCATTAGCTCAGCTTCTTACGGCACTGGAATCTTTTCCTGAAACAAACCGTAATTGTGAGCATAACAGCTTTCACTGAGTTCCATGGGGCTTTTCAGTAAATTATTGAACCTAGCTGGGCATGGTGGCTCACGCCTGTAATCCTAGCACTTTGGGAGGCTGAGGTGGGTGGATCACTTGAGGTCAGGAGTTCAAGACCAGTCTGGCCAACATGGTGAAACCCCATCTTTAATAAAAATACAAAAATCAGCAGGGTGTGGTGGCACATGCCTATAATCCCAGCTACTTGGGATGCTAAGGCACAAGAATAGCTTGGACCTAGGAGGTGGAGGTTGAATGAGACTCTGTCTCAAAAAAAACAAAACTATCTAATCTAAGGGCAGTCTTGGGGATCCCCAAACTTACAGCTGGTGTCAGAAGTAAGGGTGGTCTTGTATGGACTACCGTACTCTCCAATTTCATAGCTGGCTAACTTTGCAAGTATATATATGGAAGTCTATCTGAAAGTCATTCATATAAAACAAGGAAATACATTTGAGAATTCATCAGATTATTGTAGCTTGCAGGACTTTTATAAAGTCAAGAGCTCAGAGTGAAGAAAATGCTTTAAGGACACATCAGAAAGATACCAATGAGAGGCCTAATGAAACAAGATTAATTTAGTCAACAAATATTTACTGTCCTAGACAAGGTACAAAAGGGGGATAAAAGCAAACAAGATGTGAAAATGTACTCAGGGAAATAGGATGAGAATGAGTTAGTATTTTTCACCCAAATCCAGGTGGGCAGATATCAAGAATGATGCTCAGCACTGTGATATGAAACACAAAAGTTTATTGGAAAGAAATCACGATCCTGAAATTATCACTTTGATTCCAGGCATATGGATTTTGGAACCTGGTGGTAGGTCTCATGGTGAAAATGGGATGTGAGACTCAGGCAGAAAACAAGTATAAGGCATTGCCCAGGGAAAGAAAGAGAAGAAAGTGAAAACTATGAGAAAGAAAGATATTAAACAATAATTTTTATTTTTCTGATAGGTTTAAGAATGCTCTCTTTTATAAATAGAGGACTATAACAAAAGGATGAAGACAGAAGACTGAAATGCTAAAGAGAAGAAAAGAAGTAATATCTCAGTGGGGCGCGGTGGCTCATGCCTGTAATCCCACCACTTTGGGAGGCCGAGGCGGGTGGATCACCTGAGGTCAGGAGCTTAGACCAGCCTGGACAACATGGTAAGACCCTATCTCTACTAAAAATACAAAAAGTAGGCCGGGCGCGGTGGCTCAAGCCTGTAATCCCAGCACTTTGGGAGGCTGAGGCGGGTGGATCACGAGGTCAAGAGATCGAGACCATCCTGGTCAACATGGTGAAACCGCGTCTCTACTAAAAATACAAAAATTCAGCTGGGCATGGTGGCG